CCAATAAAACAATAAATGTGTAAAATTTCTGGCTTATTTTCCTCTGAGCAGCTCATATAATTTTTAAGTCCATAAAAAGACCATCAAAATATATTATATAAAATATTTATCTTTTACGGTTTTTGAGTAATATCTACAAAAAGACATTTTTCTATATTATAGTTGGCGTTGAAAATATTAGAACAAAACCTGACATTTATTTAATACAACACTATGCAAATTTTAATACCATTACAAATAATGAAAACTATATTTTAAACCCCAATAATTCATTCAATACCTATAAATGAGGAAAACATTTAAAAAATTATAAAAATAATTTTTTTTGGTTAAGGAAATCTTTTTCTTTTAATTGCTATAAAAATATACTTAATTCTAATACTAAAAACTTGCCGGGGTGATCAATAATCCATCCTATACGTCAGTATTTTATTTATTTATTAAATACACAAGTCTGTAGGTAAACCCTGATTACAGAGTAAAGTACAAACTGATTTACAACTTAAAAAGATAATAATAACTTAACTTCACCTCCACAAACACCAACCAAATAACATCACTTGATATTCTTCTTGTAAAATATTGTTGTTTTTGTTTAATAAAGGCTATTTATTATTATTATAATTATTATATATTATAATGAGATTTAAAAATGTAATAAATCTATATTTACAGAATTGAACTCAGCAAGCGTGGTATATAGGGGGACAGCTACACATAATGGCTGTTCTTTAGAATTAAAATTATTTCTTGAAACTCGGGCATTTATTTTACGGAGGAAATCTGATCAGTTAATTAAATATATTATATATCCCGTATAAATTCTCAAAATTTGGCTCCAGAAAATCCCGGCTGGGGCTACCAAGAAGTTCTGCCTTACTTTCTGAAATCGGAAAACTGCAACCTCGGCAAGGGGTGTTATACAAATTTCCACAGCCGGGGCGGCTATCTCAACGTAGAAGGCTCGTATAGCAGCGAACTTACAGACGCTTTCATAGCAGCAGGTATAATAAATAAAAAAAAATCGAAACTTTTCCTCAATTGTCACCCTCAGGTCGGGAGCTGGGCTATAAGCAAGTGGACTACAATACCGACTCAGTCGTCGGTTTTTCCAGAATGCAGGCCAATATCAAATTCGGTCGACGACACAGCGCTTCTGCGGCATTTTTAGGACCAGCGTCCCAAAGGCCTAATCTGAAGATAGTAACCGGAGCGACGGTTACCAAAATTAATATAAACCCTCTAACCAGAGAAGCCTATGGTGTGGAATTCTCCAGAGGGAAAGGTCAATACTTTGTAAACGCTTCTAAAGAAGTTATCGTATCGGCTGGAGTGTTAAACTCGCCGCAGCTTCTAATGCTGTCTGGAATAGGACCCCTACATCATCTTTTAGAATTGGGAATTGAGCCTGTCCAAGATCTTCCAGTAGGCAAGCAACTGTACGACCATTTAGGGTTCATGGGGCTCGTATTCACTATCAATCGACATATAGAGCCCAGGCAAAAAATGTTCGAACCAACTACCATCTTCGAGTGGATGTTCAGAGGCACCGGCTTTCTGGCTAGTTTGGGAGGCATCGAAGCCATAGCGTACATCAGTACCAAAAACACCAGCTATCCGGACATCGAGCTACTTTTGGCAGGGATTGGGACGCTTCAATTTGACAGAGGAACGGTTTCCAGGCGCGGTCTAAGAATAACTGAAGCGTTTTACGAGAATTACTTCGAACACTTAGAAAAAATACCGTGCGTGTCAATTTTGCCAGTGTTGTTGCATCCTAGATCTAATGGGGAGCTGAAATTGGCCTCCAGCGATACCTATGAACCTCCCAAAAGTTTCGGTAACTATTTAACCGACCAAGAGGGACATGACCTGGAGGTATTATTAAAAGGCATCAGATTAACTCAAAAACTCATGGAGAGCGAGGCATTTCAACAATATGGGGCCAAAATATACGACAAACCCGTGCCCGGGTGCGAAAACTTTTTTTTCGACACTGATCAATATTGGGAATGCGCCGTTCGACACCTAGGCGTGACTCTGCACCATCAAATCGGCACCTGCCGAATGGGAAATGGCTCGAACTCTGTAGTAGACCACAGGTTACGAGTACGCGGCCTAAAAGGGTTAAGGGTGGCAGATACAAGCGTTATTCCGGTCACTATATCGGCACACACCAGTGCTCCGGCCATGATGGTAGGCGAAAAGGCTTCAGATATGATCAAAGAAGATTGGGGAGCATATATTTTGGATTATTAGTGAACGTAGCGAAGAAATTTTGATTTAATGAGGCTAGTGTACGTTCGTAATGATAGGAACAAAATGATTTAAAATAGAGCTGCTTATTTTTAAATCAGCAGTTAATTGCAATTAATATTGCGATTTGTTAACAACAGATCTCTGACTAACCCTGATCACTGAATAGTCTCAGAAAGTTCCATACTTATATCTTGAGTTGCCCTACCATTTTTAACCAATTCAAAGATTTGTATTTGCAATTGAAGATAAATAGGCAACGAGACGAGAAACGATTTTTTTATATACTACGATCTCGTGAGGAGCAATAAAATTTTTCGTTGAAGAAGAAGAAAATGTTTATTTAGTTTTGAACGTCAATATTTCGAAAAAGATATGTTAGGGATATTTTATTGCAAAAAATATTCAGAATCAATCTTTGGAAATTTCTTATACATAAATTTGCAAATTATTTGTTCCACCTATCGCGCATGAACAACAAACAACAAAAAAGTGAAATTGAACTAATAAGAATTGATAGAGCCAAAATCGAAAAGGTAAAAGTTGGGTGAGCCTTTTGAAAATCTTAGTTTAAAAATGTTAAAATGGGCTTCTCTGAATTTTGAATCGCGAATTGTATGTAAATATAATATGACACAATAGAACCTATATTTAATTAACCATGAAGTTTTTTTTTATTACCAATTTCTTTAATAAATTTAACTCTTGTGATCACTCTTCGACGCAATTTCGAACGAAAATAATCATAAAACAAAACTTATAGTTATTAAAATGTCCTTAACCCAAAACTAACTGGGTAACTGGTTAGGATTCCAAGATAGTAATGACGAATTTTTTAATTCTGTGAAATGCACAACTATTTTGCACTTTGTTGGATTATAGTAATTTTGTAGAACATAACATCGTATTAAATTATTGATGGACTATTGCTTTACATTTATAACAAACGAATAATTAAATTCGGATTAAACGCCCGATACAATATACAATAAAATACGACGGTGACTCATCATGCTCTCAGTTTATTATATTAATGTCTTGTTAAACTAGATGTTAATTTGTACAAGTATGAGTTATTAATTAAATTTACGCAAAATATATCTATCTTTTTTGCCAAAATCCCCTTCATACAAATCAGGAAAATATGTTTTTATCGTTTTTTCATAGGTAAAAAAAATAAAAATTAAATAGGAAAACTCTTTAAAAAACAGAAAATTCCATACCTTTTTGACAAATTATCGTACAGAAAGCGGATGTGTACGGGGCTAACATGAGATGCAGTGTACTGCCCTAAGTTTTCTGCAACATTTAACATGCTGATTTCGTTTTTAACATGAATAAAGCTCAATTTTTGACATTTTGTTCGTTTATTTTTTTTCTTACTATCGCACCTTGCAAATCATGTCGGCCACCGGCACTTCATTGACGACTATAATAAATAGGAAACTTGTTGATTGACTTGTAGATTCTCCAACCATAAAGTACATCCTCTTCCATATTCTCTTTAATCTTCATTTATAAATATAGTAAATAGACAACCCCCAAGCAATTTCGATTCTAACGCAGTTTCAGGTTCAAATTATGACTCACTACACTTTTAGTACAAACGACGCAAGAGAATCCAAGAGATTTATTGTAAATACTATTACGGTAGCCTGTAGAAGTTTCTTTGGAAAATTAACACTCGTTTAAGTCGAAGAAGTGATGATTTGGCTTCCTCTATCAAACATTTTGCCTAGATAGAAGTTTGGAATAAAAGGTCGGTGTTTCCTAATAAACATTTGTCTGGTTTTCTTCAGTTTCAGTTCATATTCTTTGCAGATTTCTGTTGTCCTGTTAAGAGGTGGTTGTAGGCTTTCTGCACCTCCAGCAATAATCAACCTGTCATCGCCGCCTCTTAAGTTAAACTTGACATCTTCGTTCATCTCTGCATAGACTCCAAAGAGATTTTTACTGAATGTACAACGGCTTCCTCATTAGTGCGTCATTTTAAGAGAAAACATTCTTTAACTTTCGAGAGGCAGGCTGATCTAGAGACCTCTGGTAAATGCTGCAAGCATGTGCTGCGCAACAAAAATCATTTTCAGGTGAACAACACGTTTTTTACTTTTTACCAGGGACTTTTTTTCAGGTGAATATTTTCTTTGAAAAGTTTAATCATTTTTACATAAAAGAAGCCTCCTGCGTTTTTATTGTGGGAATCACCGTATTTATTAAATTAAAATAAATTAAAAGTGAACGTTGGACCACCGGGGGCGGACACCCAACTCGACTGACCATTGCTTTCTGGTTCCACTTGATTTTCAATAATGGTAAAACTCTCATTTCGTGATTAACGTAACATGCTTCCTCTTTTACACTTTGCACCATACAATTATTAAACAAACGCGTCTATAATAATATATGCATCCTTTCAATTATTGTAAAACTATATTATTCAGTAAATTTGCAAAATTAGTATGCGCATATCGGACGCCAATTAGACGGATAATACGGACGCGATGAGAAGATCGGGTCGAAAAAATACGACCTTCGGCGTCTGTTTTCATTTAAGGAATTCCGTTTTCTGCGCGCTCACGGAAAATGCCCAAAAATTCGTCTCCGAAATCATACGTTCGACACAATTCTGAACGGGTGATTCAAAAAACAAAAACAAATGGACTCCAAGCGTCCCCCTACCTTTCATTTTACCACGGCAGAACGAGTTCCCAGCTTATAAATATCGATAGCCAAGCCAAGAATTACAGAAAAATACAATCGAGGTGGGGTGGCAAAAAAATTCCACGATGTCTGATGTCGCTTCGTCTATATGAGTTTATGTATAACATTTATTTATAATTGTTTTCGAGACAGGCCCACTCGCGGCGTTTTAAGATTGTGTAAAGTGACTCCATTCGACAGGCTGGTGAGTTCGTTATTTATTCGAGAAAACGCGTATTAGTTTAAAAAAAAGGGCAATAGAGGGTTGCTTTTAGTGTGATAAAAATCGGAAGATTTTGAAACGCAAAATTTTCTTTTATAATAAATATTTTTTAAAGTTTGCAATTATCATCGAAAGAAAATTTAGGTTATAAACCAATGAGAGTCGCAAGTTGCAATTATGCTTTTGTTGCTCTTTTCTTGTAAGGGTTAAAAGTTTGCTAAAGAGCAAAATTAAGGTTGTCGATTATTTAAGTTATTAAAACAGAAAAACTACTGTAGTAAGAAATTGATAAACTACAGTTTTTTTTATTTTTAATGACGATTAATTTTTGTGGTTTTAAAGGTAACCAAAAACATTTGAGATCAAGGAAATAGAAACGTATATTTTAAATAAAAAAGTGTTTAAGGCATTATACGCAAATGGAAAATAAATAATTAATTAACAACTAAAACAAATGCGGGAACACAACGTTTGGTTTCTTAAATAGCTCCTAAACATTAACGAATTTATTTATTATTACATAATTAAATTCTATTGGGTAACTAAAAATGAGAATAACTATTTTACTTCTAAATCGATATATGCAATAACAAATATATTTGTTAAGAATTTCGCTGTTTACATTTTTACATTCTTAACTTTATATGCACTTCCATAATTTTGGTATTAATTGTAAATTGTTTAATTGTTGCGATAAAAACTTATAGTAATAAATAAATAAATAAACAAAACCAGAATCTTCAAATATGCGAAAAAAAGTGAGGCGTGGACGGGGGGCAGAGTAAATTTTATTTAATAATATTCATGAGAAAAAAAAAAGAAATTGGGGCTTTTTCCAAATGCCAAAGACCGGCTTAAATCTATTTTTTTATTTTTAATTGAAAGTTCCACAACGAAAAAGCAACTGATCGTATTCGGATAAGCTCCGGGCGGTTACAACGGTGGGCGAAACTTAACACAATAACCCAGTTTCGGGTTAAATGGTAACATTATCTGACGTAATTTTTTTTTGCGAGAAAAACAACTAAATGTCACTGAAAAATTGAATTGTTTTGATGGATATAGGATGTGTTTCAAAGAAATGCGACAAATTAGGGCGGAAAAATAAAAACACTCCTTTTCTGCATATGGACTACCACTATTACTCTTCCTAACTAAAGAACGACTTACGCAATAACATCTAGAAAAATAAATATTGGTTGCAGGGTTTATTTAGAAACTTATTTATCTCTTGTATTTTTATCAACTTCCCAACTTCAAATAAAAAAGTAGGGGCATGTAGTAAAAAAGAAAATTATTTTATAACAGTATTCTAGTTGGATGTCATGGACGTCATACATTTTATTTTGTTCCAATATTGACCAATCATCGTATAAAAAATTATATTTAAGAAAATAATTTATTAATTCAAATAAACAATGAGGAAAATGTATTTTTCATTTTCATTTTATTTATTATCATGTCACAAATCAATGGCAATAAAATATAACATGGAGTAACAATTTTACAACATAATATGGAAAATATACATATATTAATAGTACTCTTTAAAGACCCGGTCTAAGTAGCGTTTATGATAGCAAAAGCTATTTTAAATCATTTGTATTTTGTAAGCGAAATTAACGGTGAACAAAAAGTAGCATTAAACTATATTTTATGTGCCAGTAACAACTTACTATTTTATACAACGCGGAGAAAAATTAACTTAACCTAAATCTTAGCGCTTTTACAAAATAATTATTTTTTTTTAGTCAACTAATGTCTGTAAATTCCAAATAATTTATCTAGGCTGTCAATTTTCCATTTTGTCTCGACAAACGTTGTTTCCATTTAAGCGGCGCAAAGGGTGGTCAAAATTAAAGCGTTGTAATAGAAAAATCCTGCCTCTAAACTAGATTATGTAAAGTCGGCCGACTTATCATTTTCGTCTATTACCAATATATTTTTCATTTTGCGAAAATTTCTGATTCGAATAAAAACATTATTTGAATTGAATGGCAATCGTAGTTGATTACTTAACTAATTAATTTAATTAATTAATTAATTAATTTTGATATATTTTAAATTGTTAAATGACGTTTTAGCTTAAATTTGACTACTAATACATACTATGGACGACAAAACACGAAATCCAATCAAAATAAGTCTAATATCTTTAATCGACATTTGCAGCTTCACGCACAGAATTTTTTTAGGTCACAGCCAACCATTATTTGGAATTGGAATGGAATTGAATTTTGGAATAACGGCATTTGGACCAAAAAATTGCGCTATTTTTTACATGTCACCAAGTTTAATAAATAAAAAAGTCATAGGCAATTTTTCAAAACGCTCCAAAATTTAAAAACACCCTTATATCTCGACCGAAAAAAATTAACTGATCGAGTTTCCCTAAAATGTCCTTGTCAAGAGAGAAATCGATTCTATTGATCATAAATGGCATAAAGGCCAAGAAAATATATTCAGCTAACAAAACTTTTTAAACAACTTCTGAGTGTGGCCACTAATATTTGAGGCCTTACTGTTCTAGACGAAATCATCAGATTATATTAGAATTGATGATAATGAATCTTGATATATTGATTGCACCACTACAAGGGTGGACATTTTAAAAATGACCATGCAATAAACGGTCAATTAGGATATATAAAAATGTTACGATCGATCAACTTTAAACCAAATAAAAGTACTAAAGTATATCACCAAATGCGCATCACAAAAGGTTACCACAATTATATTTTAATGGCGGTATGACATGCGTTTTAACCGCATTTTCGATTATAGACAAATCCGGTCAGTAATAAATTAGGAGTTTAACCAAAACGCCTAAAACAATCGGCCATGAACGCGAAATGGCTGATAGTGCTGACAGCCCTATCGGCACAGACCACAGCGGACGTCATTACCGACAAGATTGTAACCGCCATGGTAAACTTGGTAAACGAAATCAACCGTATCTACGGACTTTATAGCGGTCGACAGGATTTCAATTACTGGTTCCAGACCAAACAATGGAAATTCGAGGAAGAGGCCCGTAAGTAACACCGTTTTGATGGTCTGAGTGTAATAACAAAGTCAAAGGAAAACAAAGGGGTTTTGATGTCAGTAAAACGTTTCTTCTAATGGCAAATATGCGAAAAGGTTGCTTCGAAGCAACCAAAAGATCAGACAAAAATAGCCGTTAAAAAACATCCATTTAAATAAATTCTACAACCAACAAATGCAATTAACCTTATTAAATTATCCTGTTAAATATATAAAATTTAAAGCGTTTCTGTAAAAAAAAACCAAATCGACCAAGAAAGAAAGCTAGAAATAGTTTTCAAAATGCAACAAAATAACAAATTATTGTATTTTGCATCATTAACATACAGATTTATGAACACATATTGTCTTATCTCATTGTTCTTATCGCATTATAAAAAAATTAAAAGAAAATATTTCGTTTTGAAATTAATGCAGAATTTTTATTTTTTGCATGTTTTTTGATATAACAAGCCATTCATTAAAACTCTAAGTTTTTGTTAAATATTACTTATTACCCACTAATTAAAATTCATTTTCATTTTTAATCATGTAATTTAAATCTTATTCCTAAATCCTAAATCCTTTCCACCATCATAAAAACTAACAACAACAATATCATTGAAAAGTACTGCGATTTGATTATTATAGTTACTAGTGGAACAGAATCCAATTAAAATAATTGCTTTAATTTAATTTTAATGGATTGCATTTAAATTAACTTTAAGAGTAAGATCAAATAATATTTGGAAAACAATCTGTTTACCTATACTTTTGAAATTATTTTATTAAATATATACAGGGTGTTTGTATTTTCGTGGACGTAACAATTTTCTTATTTTAAATAAAACCCCTACATATAAATTAAATACCTACATAGACGTATGTTCCATGATTTTTACATATTACAGTTTGCTAATTGGCAGTGACATTTTCACTATACATATATCTACTATACTATATATCTTAGCTTGAGAACATTACGGCAACTGTCCGGTTTATATTTCAAATTGGTAGCTGCAATTAATCATTTACCTATTGTATCTTTTTCCCGACAAATAAATGTTTTTGACCAAGAGAGACATCGGTTGTTGTCACCATTGTTTGGAATATATTTAAAAAAGATAAACAAAAATGTTATTCCAACAAATGGGATAATTCCGACTTTACTGACGTCTTAGCTGTTTCTGACATATTTTGAATTTCAAACGTCAAAAGTGACGTTTGCATTGATAAAATTTCGAAATCTACAAGTTTTTCAAATAAGCAACATTATAATTTTTTTTTCATTTAAATTTTTAATGTTACTTTTTGATCACCCCGTATTTATTTGTTTTTAAAATAACAAGACAGAATACTACAGTCTCAATCCCATGTATAAAAAAAGTTATCTGTCAGATAAATCGATAACTACATATTTATATTTGAAAACCGCACTTTTGATCTAAAATTTAAAATATGTCAGAAACGGTAACACTTTATAAACAATTTAATAAAACATTATATATGCAATATGTCCTTCTGAAGAATTCAAAAATATCTAATATATCTATTTAAAATAAAAAAGTTGTTGCTTGTCCACACCTTGTATATATAATAATTTAATATTTTAAAACTATATGTGAGTATATTATAACTTTTGACTCTACTTTTTTTGATATTTTTAACAGATTCAAAGAAAAGGTATTATCCAATAAGAATAGGCATACCCTGCCTGCAAGATATCTTGCTGATTTTTGAAGATAGAGTCCAGTAAAAAAATATTTTATCAGACTTCGACTTTTTGGTATATATATTCTTTCTTCTTTGTTCTACTTTCTTGGTATATATATTCTATCTCTACCCCTCACCAATTGAAACACTTGTACCCATATTTTGTCGCGCAGTCTGTACACAGTTTCCTGAATTTCCAGGCGAAGAGTACGACTTCGTAATAGTGGGTTCCGGATCAGCGGGTTCCGTCATAGCCAACCGGCTATCGGAAGTATCGTCGTGGAAAATTCTACTCTTGGAAACCGGCATTCCCGAGACGAACATAATGGGAGTACCCGTCTTCGCATCGGCGCTACAATTTACCAACTACAATTGGAAGCACTACATGGAATACCAAGAGGGCAACTTCTACGGCTTTAACGGTGACCGAATGCACTGGCCTCGCGGCAAAGCTCTGGGAGGTACCTCCGTCATAAACTACATGATATACACCCGAGGCAATCGGTGGGATTATGACAGATGGGCGGCCGATGGTAATCCAGGTGAGACTTTACCCCATAGGAAGAACAAATCGAAAGAATATTTAGCTGGGCGCAGGATGGTCCTACGATGAAGTATTGCCTTACTTCATAAAGTCAGAGAAGGCACTGAACCTTGCGGATGCAGAAGAACAGTACCATGGCAAGAACGGCTCATTGAGCGTCGAAAACATTTATCAATCCAAGTTGATGGGTGCCTTTATTGAAGCCGGCAAGCAACTAGGTCTCTCCCACATTGACTACAACGCGCCCACCAACTCCTTCGGTACCAGCAGAATACAGGCGACCGTCAAGAGAGGTGCGCTATTTAATTATCACGTAAAGTCTGTCTCAATGTATATCGTCTTGGCTTTTTTCTGTATTTATCAGCATTTTATTAGATTTATAGCGTACACCACTGGAAACCCAAAGGAGATACGAAAAAAAATATCACACAAAAGTTTCTAGAACTCTCCTGAAGAATTAAAATATTACAATTTTGTTGATACAGGCTGTCCGAAAAGTGTCCCCTCCGACATCAACTTTGTTAATTTAAACGGAACACCCTGTATATATCGACATTTTTCGAATCCTTGGTTAAAATAAAAATAAAGGTCACTTTCCTGAGAAATTCCTATTCGAATTTCGCGTAGTTTAGGCAGAAATGGAGTGTTTTTTCTTTCATATTTTGATTGCCCCTTATTAAATTGTGTTGTGACGCTACCGATCGAGGTATTGCAACGAAAATTTAACCACAGACTAAGGAGATGATGCACTGCTCAATCAGTTTGACAGATACGCCTCAGCTTATACAGGGTGTCCCAAATAGGTGGTGCCGTTTTGGCGAATTTAATTAACAAAATCTCAAGATTTTCAAATGGACCACCCTATATTTTTATTCATATAACAATTCTAGGATAAAAAAGAAGGTAAATTTGTAATTTATCTTACATTTAAACGTTTCTTACTTTTTGAGATATTCGAGGTTTAAGATATAAAGTCTTGTTGAATTTAAAGCTGCCCACATTAGGTCACTTGTTGGCAGTATGAGGTATTTTTTAAATAGCAAAAACATGATACGACTTCTTTTAAAGATACAATACTTCAAATATACGAATAAAACCTATTGCTAACAATACGGGGTGTCCATTAATACGTGGAGATTTTGAAAAAAATCACGATAAATGCATATATAACATTAAAATAAATTGAAGGTTTGCAGTACCCCAATTAACTTTTGTATTTCACCTTTGGCTCCATCCCTTCTAGTTTCTGAGATAAGGTATTGCCCAAGATAAACGGGCCGCCCTATACATAAGAACTCTCTTTAGTAGGAGACCATACCCTAAACTTACAATGTTTTATAATATTCTCAGTGGAAAAGCTACTCACAGTTTTCTCTATCCAATTCACAAAATAAGGCAACTATTGTTTTAGTTCTAGAACTAGACTAGCCGAACAAAACTGTCTGATTGACTTTTTGACAGCGTTCCACATTTTCGTAAACCAAATGTCAGGTAGAAATTTGGTAGGTAAAGAATAATATTCTTCATGTAGTGTTGAATTTTCATATTCTTTAAATAATATAATAGTATCATTAGTAATGTATCTCTTTTATTTATTATCTCTTTAGTAGACTTTTTTGCACCGTTTCACATTTTCTTGAATCAAGGTAGATAAAGAATAATGGCCTTCACGTAGTGTTGAATTTTTGTAGTCTTTAAATAAGCTAACAATATTACTAGTATTGTATTGTCTTTAACCTGGTCTATTTGATATTCACAGTACTTCTCTGATATTTTGTTCAGTTGTTATTTTTGATAGCTCTCATTTTTCTTTATTGTGAAGTGTAACGAACCAAATAAATAAATATTTTGAAATGCACTGTACTTTAACAATGTTTCTGTTTTGTGCGACCAAGGAAGGCGGCACAGCGTGGCGAGCGCGTTTCTTTGGCCAGTGAGGAAGCGAAAAAACCTGAAGATACTCATAAACGCCTACGTCACGAAAGTACTGATCGACCCTCAGACCAGGGAGGCTTACGGGGTGAAGTATGAGCGATTAGGGAGAAAATACCAAGTCAGGGCCAAGAAAGAAGTTATACTTTGCGCCGGTAACGGGTTATTCTGGGACATGTGGAAATTTGATTACTAACTACGGTTTTAGGGACTTTCAATTCGCCTCAGCTACTGATGCTGTCCGGAATAGGTCCCAAAAACCATCTGCTGACGCACGGCATCGAGTGTCTGCAAGATTTGCCGGTCGGACGGAACCTGCACGACCATTTGACTTTTCCAGGTGAGTTAAAAACGACTGGCAGTAAGTATTGCCGATTATGCAATTTTCTATTGGCACCGCTATTCCTACACAACAATAAATTGGAAATCGATGAGCAATGTCCGTTTAATATATTCATGCACGGTTTTAAGCAATTTTTTCTTAAAATAACTTTCAAACTCTCGAAATTATATTTCAGGTATGTCATTTTTAATCGACCAAGATGTCTCCTTAAATCCCATAAGGATACTGAGCACGACGGGCACGTACCTGTCCAACGGTACAGGGCCGTATACGAGTTTGGGAGGCGTGGAGGGTATAGGATACGTAAAAACCACGTTAGCCGATTACGCAGAAGACTACCCGGATATGGAACTGCTGTTTGTGGGCGGTACGCTAGCCAGTGATTACGGCTTGACCGTCTACAGGGGTATGAACATCAAGGACGAAGTGTTTAACAGCGTCTTCGGAGATCTTTTAGACAAGAACCATTGGTCCATATTCCCGATGCTTCTGCACCCCAAATCTACCGGTCACTTGGAATTGAGGTCATCCAACCCGTACGATTACCCCCGATTATATGGTAATTTTTTCACGGATCCCGAGAATCGGGATTTGCGAACGTTTCTCGAAGTGATACGGATGATGCAAAACATTTCCGACAGCGAACCCTTCCGAAAGCTGGGGTCGCGACTGAATCCCAAACCGATGTACGGTTGCGACCATTTGCAATTTGACAGCGACCAATACTGGGAATGTTGCATCAGGTAACACCAGGATGATTAGTTTAGCAAAAATTTTATCCTGACTAATCATTTTACTTTCCTAGCTTTATTTTTATCTTTTATCGACGATGTCTCCTATATTTCATACCACGCCGCTCCGCAATTACCAACAGGGTTCGTCTGAATTCTTGTAAATCGGGCCCAGGGCCGGGTTCAGCCCACTCAGCTCACTCCTAACAATACCATCATTTATGACAAACATTTAATGGTTAAAATCCTATGGCAATATCTTCACTACCAAAGGAGATATAGACCGTTTTTCAATTTTTCATTTTTTTATTTATGAACATTTTGCAGTACGTACGCAGATTTTTTCTACAGCACAGTAATCAATATATCTAAGAAACTACTAGAGATTAAATAGACAAAACCTGAATGAACCCACCATGAAAATTTCTCAAAAATCTAAAAATCTAAAACAAATAATTTACGTGTTCTCATGACACATATGAGATACCCCGGAGTAATGGTAGGCAGCACTTCGATACAAACAACTTTCCTGTTTAAAATTTTTCGATAAAATACACTCTTATCGGCATGTGACAGAATCCCACAGGAGCAAACCACCCTGTATAACTAAAAACGATCCTTATATAAACTTGCAGTTAACTGCAAGTTGGACTTTAAATTTAAAATTCCAGCTGGTTGTGTTCTTAGGTCGATCAGTGTTACGCTTCACCACCAAGTGGGTACCGCCAAAATGGGGCCCAGCACGGACCCCGGAGCAGTAGTCAATGCGCAATTGCAAGTGTACGGCGTACCGCGATTGCGGGTGGCAGACTGCAGCGTTTTCCCTAGAGCTTTAGGCGCTCATACGAATGCGCCCTCTATAATGCTCGGCGAAAAAGCTTCGGATATAATAAAGGAGTTTTGGGGTACAAACTTGGACAATACGTGATGCGATTTTTCTAGATATTTCTAGATAGATTATAGATTTATAGATAAAAAATAGCAAATATGTCACAACTGTTCCTAATAGCTACCTTTCAAACCCCAAGTGTAATGCGAACGAAAAACCCTTGATACACTTTCTAATACATATGACAATGACATATATAAAATTGAATTTGCAGTTTTTCCGCACCAGCCTTCTGATTTCAAAAATATAACCCACAAAATCAAATTGGTCCAATTCCGGCATAGTTTTTTTTGTAATATTTTCTTTGAGCAAAGATGGCCGAAGATTTTTCATTTGCTTAAAATGCGGAAATTTTATATTCATTTAATTGGATAAAAATAATCTAGCGTAACCATCAGTTGGTTAAAATAAAAATTTACTAATTGTTTGTTCTCAATGTTATAAACACTATAAATATTTCAAAAAAAAATACAACAAAAGCTCATGGAAGGTTTTGTTTTAACTAGTCCTAATCTAGACACCAAGGTGCATGATGCACAACTTATTTGGCGTTTTTTCCTGTAAATTAAAAAAGGAATTTTTTAATTAATTGAAAGCATTTCAGTAGATTTTGATAAAATAAAAAAAAATGTTGCCATCCCAGCAATGTATAGACGCCTATTTGATGTTTAAAAACACTTTTTTTTGTTTTGATTATTGCTTTAAACAAGAGATGGAGGGAAATGGTTTTTAAATTTTTTCCATAAATACAAAGCGAGTTAGGAAACAAACTCTGGCGCCCAAAAATTACGATTCGAATCGCTTAATTTTATAAAATACTATGATACAAAAACCTATAGCATTAAGAGTAATAAAAAAACAAACCTGACACCCTGGATCCCGAAACTAACCAAAACTGCAGAATAGTTTTATTCGAATATTTATTCGCTATCCACTTTTCCTATTCAATTTAATTTTGATAGGGGGATGAATAGGGAAAAAATGTTTCTCGGCAACTACTCCGCTTTGCTCGAACACCTTACGTGAGTCAGGTTGGCCGAGCGGTCTAAGGCGCCAGATTTAAGCTCTGGTTCTCGAAAGGGAGCGTGGGTTCGAACCCCACACCTGACAAACTTTTTTTTTCAAAAATCAATTTCACGCATGACTTTTTACCCTAAGTAAAAACATTGTAGGAAAGATGCCTTTTCTCAAATAAAAATAACGGTCAATGACCTCCAAACGACGAAAAAAACGTGGGTTGGAATCGCGGCGCCTGTTTGCCTTTTATCTAGATCCGAGAACTAAAATCCGCAAACATATCTGCGATGGCGCCAAACAAGCTAGCTTGTTCCACTTTAAATAATTTCAAAAGCGCATTTTAACAAAAAAAAATTTTCCACATAGTACGTAATCTAACTTTTCTATGTGTATTTATTGACGTATTTTTAATTATCGATTATTGTTTATTTACAATTGGGAAAAGAAATAGGAAAATGCGTTTTTATTCCTTTTTGGGACTATGGATGGTTAATTTTTTTATCAAAAATTTGCATATATACATCGGCAATCTACTAACCTAACTTTGTTAGTTACAAATTATCGTATTCTTACGTAAATACATAAAACATGAAATTCATTACACAAATCTGTAAACATAATCTGAAGTTTAACATAACCTACAAATATTTTGTATACATATTTTTTAAATCAAAGAAGAGGTGTAAAAAGGTACTTTGACTTACATGTAGATACGTCAAAATTCGAAACACAACCAATTTCAACATTTATCAAACATACAAAATTGATTTCATCCATATTCTAAGGTAATCGAAATTTTAGTACACTTAATTTGCAGCAATTACCAATTCAGTAAACCTTTAATATTTACGACCTCTGTTTATTTGGGTCAATGGGTAAATTACAGCAGAAAACTGAGCAAAAACATTTGGGGAAACATCCCAATAAAACAAGATAATAAATTTTTCGTATTTACCTGATACAATTAGCGCCTCGTTAGGTCCTACCGTGTGTATATTACCCATCACAATCACTGTTGTGCAAAAGATTACCTCCAAATTTCGCGACGTTTCAGGAATACACGCACACACTCGCACTTTCGGAAAAATTGAATACTCACACGGCCGACTGTTCGACTACATTTTATGCATCCATGCTAGAGGTAATCTGGAGCGCATGCCTACAAAAATGAGGAACGCTTATATTTTGCTCATTTGTAATTATTTTTTATCTTCGCCGGTTCCTAATGCCTGTTTACAACCTCCAACAGGATTCCAAAATACTGTTTATTGACTATAAATCAAGTTTTTTGTATTAATTTTTAAATGGGTATTCCCCGAACAAGCAAAGACATGCATCACGCGCGTCGTCGAATGACTCATCTCAAAACAATTGTTTACAACCCTTTTCGGTGCTCCCCAAAGAATTAAAGAAATAGTTTAATTTGTTTTTGATTTGATTGATTTCTGACATTTCTGCTGTTTTCAAAAATTGAAAGAATTATATCTATGGTCGACGCATTGAAGTATAGGGAATGGGCATTGAAGTACAGGGTTTTCGACTCTCGATCACGTCCGTCGTAGCTTAAACTGCAAAGCAGAGGCAGGCAAGGGTAGCTTTTTGTAGTGTTTGATGCAATTCTGGGTGATTAATGAGTATCGGTTGAACGTTTTTTTGTTTAGGGAAATGTGATATTTCTTTCAATTGCAGATTGTATTCAGTTGAAAATTTGTTTAGTAAAGCCGACGTAACAAACATTTTTAGATAATTTATGTCAACATAACCTCAATTCGTGACTTTTTCCTAAAATTTATACGATGAGTGAAATAAGTGACTTGGATAGACAAATTGAACAACTCAAACGATGTGAAATAATCAAAGAGAGTGAGGTGAAGGCACTATGTGCCAAAGCCAGAGAAATATTGGTGGAGGAAAGCAATGTTCAACGAGTAGATTCCCCAGTTACTGTAGGTAAGAATCTGACGATTTTAAAGTAAACTACAATGCGGACTTTAGGTTTGTGGTGATATCCATGGTCAGTTTTATGATCTAAAGGAACTGTTTAAAGTGGGTGGAGATGTCCCAGAAACAAGTTATTTGTTCATGGGGGATTTTGTGGATAGAGGTTTCTATAGTGTCGAAACTTTTTTGCTTCTGCTGGCTCTGAAAGTTAGATATCCAGATCGTATAACCCTAATACGAGGTAACCATGAATCTCGGCAAATAACACAAGTCTATGGATTTTATGATGAATGCCTCAGAAAGTATGGCTCTATAACTGTTTGGAGATACTGCACAGAAATTTTTGATTACTTGTCTCTATCTGCCATAATCGATGGAAAAATATTTTGCGTTCATGGGGGTCTTTCACCTTCTATACAAACCTTGGATCAGATCCGCGTTATAGATCGTAAACAGGAAGTTCCCCACGATGGACCAATGTGTGACTTACTTTGGAGTGATCCAGAAGGTGAGCCCAATTTTCTTGTAAACTATTTATTACAAAATGTGTTTTTAGACACTCAGGGTTGGGGGGTGTCTCCCAGAGGAGCTGGCTACCTTTTTGGGTCCGATGTAGTAGCTCAGTTTAATGCAGCAAATGATATTGACATGATCTGTCGCGCGCACCAACTGGTCATGGAAGGATACAAGTGGCATTTTAACGAGACGGTGTTGACAGTTTGGTCAGCCCCAAATTACTGTTACAGGTGCGGCAATGTAGCAGCAATCCTAGAACTTAATGAGCACTTGCAACGTGATTTCACTATTTTTGAAGCCGCGCCTCAAGAGACAAGAGGCATTCCTTCAAAAAAACCTCAGGCAGATTACTTTTTATAAAAGGCAAAATGTTTATTTGTACCTTATCCTATTCTCAGTTTCTATTTGAACATTTAGGATGTGCACATCTTAAAAGGGTTCCAAATGTTTTTAATTGTACCAGACCATAGTAAAGGATTTCAACAAAGATTCAACAATACTATTCTAATCATTGTTTCTTAGATAATGTAAACATTATAGTTAGACTAACAACGGCCAATTTAGAAGTAATTTACTGGTTGTTATTTCCATTGGATTGATTTAGGTATGTTATTAGAGTTTTGTAAACGATACTGCCAAAATAAACTTTTTTTACTCATTTTGTAGAAATAATATGTACCGGGAGGTCTGTTCTTGAGACACTACTTTATCTCAACAAATGAAGACGCTAAACTATAGAACCAAAATATAATTAAAAGAAAAATATAATATATGTAATTGAAAAGATTTTTAGATAAGGTATTGTCAGAAGATAAAGGGTCAACCTGTGTGTATAAATATGTAACAATGGCCTAATTGAATGGTGAAATTCAAAATTAAAATGACATTCACAATCCATTAAACCATTATTTCTTATTTGCAAACTTTTTGCAACAACTTCCAAAAATAAAACAAAACTGGTATCTGCTTTAAAAAATTATGAAAATTCAAACTAAAAACATTTACTAAAAATAAATTAATTCTAAAAGCTAAAAGACTCAATTTCTGCTTCGCAAACTAAAACCGGCTCCGCTAAATGGTTTAAATTCATCAGATTCCTCATTTTGATTGCTTTTTTGTTTAACTGTCCTCCTTATAAATTTAAGTGTCCCAATTTCATAATCGTAATCAGGTATGCCACGAACATAGACTGGTTTTGGAAGAGGGCTTTCTAAAAACCATAAAAAATTAAATTGATACCCTACAAAAAAGCTCTGGCTATCCGTTACTACCTGATGCTGAGGATTCCTTTTTTTTCTTGCCATCTAATCTATTTCCTGCACCTTTAAATGCTACAAACCCAGATGGTTCAGGCATCAAATCCGCTGGGTCAACCGCCATAGTCTCCTCTTGCTGTTTTTTAACCACCTCAGGTTCTAAATGAAAGTTTAAAATCATCAGAGAAGTTAAGGTATTAGAAGTTTACCCTTGTATCCCACGGGGGGTGCAAAATCCACATTCATATCACACTCAATAATGCTTATGGCATTTCCTGGTTTAGTTTCTAACACACACAATTCATATATTTTTTGGTTGTATTGAACGGCAATAATATCTCCTAAAAAATCATAAAACACGGTGAGTTATTTAAAAAATATGTTTTTCAAATGTTACCAGTTGTAAGACAGGCAAATGATCTCAGACAATTTTCCAGAACTGCTTTTGGATTGGTTATATCCAGGAAATCTGGTGAATGGGGCTGAAATTTTGCAAATGTACCAACCGGCAGTGAAATGCTCTCCATTTGAACCAAATCACCTTCTTCTAACATCATGTTACGCATCATCTAATATTTGACACAAAAACAACATTAATAATGCTTAAATGCTTAATGATTTAGTAATTATATGTTCAGATATTCACCCAGAGTGGCAAATAAACTTTTCCTTCATCGGCTACAAACTCTAAGACCCCACAGTGTGTTACCTTGTTAGTTGACTTATTGACCAACTTAAATAACATGGGATAATTTATATTGAGTCTAGTCAACTGCTCCAGAGCGCTTGGTGGCATAATTACTAAAATTGAACACACATGTTAATAAAATCTGTTGAGGAAGACTGTAGGTTACTTACTTTTGCCACCCCGTTCTACATCTTGTCTTTCATTTCCTGGTAGCATTGCAATTGAATAACTTTGGTAAGTAACATTAAATGGTCGCGGGATCTCCGGGAACATGTTAAAACCGAATTGAAACTAATAAAAAAAATATTTAGACAATTATACCTACAGACTTGATTTAAAAAAACTAAAACAATGAATTTCCGTACCATATTTTGGCTTGGTTAACTACCAAAATTAAAATACTTCAGTACTTCTTGTGATATTGTTATGGTTATTTGTTTGTTCCTACGTACGTAAATTTAACAAACTCTTAAACAGAGAATGACAAGTTATTTGTTCATGGTCATGTTCAATACAGACTATAAATTGGGGACATCGTTAAAAACTTACCATTTCATAATAATATTATGATCTATTGTACAAGTGTAAAACAAAGAACTTGGCCAAATGGTCACTGCAACCCGGCCGCCAGCTCAAAGAGGAGGATGTATTCATTTTTAAAATAAACATTTTAAAAGAATTTTGTGAACCAAAAATAAGAACCTATAGGGTCCCTTTTTTTTCGGTCAACCAGGTGAAGTGGTGTGCACAATTTTACCTCGGTCCGAGAAAATTTTCATTTTTTTGACGTAATTCTAGTCTTCAACTGAATTTTTCGGTCTGGGTGAGTTTTATATTTAGTCAGCCGTTAATATTTGCTTTGGTTTGGTGTCGCAGTTCGCAATAATTTAGCGCTTTTCATATCATGGCATGTGCTTCGGGGGGTAAAGACCCCCCCTGATAGAAACGATCGTATCGTAGTTAATAATCCGATAGTGTTTGCAAATGATTTTGATTCCTTTCAAGCTCAACTAAACTTGTCCCAAGCTTCTACCTCCTCTAGCAGTGGTTATTCATCAGCCTTGACGCTTTCGCCTTTAGCTAAGAAAACAGCACATGCTATCGCTCAGCATCAATACTTCTTAGTACCCACTAAGGAGGAAATAGATTTATTGGAGACAGAGTTACAAAAGCTTAAATCTGTCTTCGTGGAAGATCAGGATGCCCTAAACGAAATTGCAAGAATTTCAGTTAACATAAGGAGAACACTTAACCGAAAGTATAAATATGAACTTACAGACCAGGGACCATTTCTTATCATAATGGAGGGAATAACTTCCCAAGTTGGAAACATTCACCCGATGAATATTGGAAAAATTTTGCACAGAGCTGGAGTACAAGGTATAACAAAAATCAATAGAAAAGGGGCTAATAAAATTGGAATTGAATTCAGAACATCAGAGTATGCTAATCAGTTTTTGTCAAATGAAAGTTTCAGTTCGGCTAGAGGCTATAACAGGTACATTCCACAACGTCTTGTCACTTGTAGAGGACTAATCAAGGATGTAGGGGACCAAATTACGGAAGAGGCTTTTTACTCAGAAGCGGTAGCTTATACAGGAGAAGGATCCCGGGCCAGGTTGATTAAGATATTAAATGTAAAAAGAGTCTTAAGAAGGAAGAAAATACTTGCTATTTCTGGTGAAACAGTAATGAAAACCATCCCCACAAACGATTATATTGTAACATTTGAAGGCAAATTATTACCCCAAACTGTAAATATTTTTAATAATGAAAGAGAAGTGGAAAAATATGTTAACCCGGTTATAATGTGCGTCAATTGTTGCAGATTTGGACATGTCAAAAATAATTGTAGAGGCAAGCCTCGTTGCGGTTTTTGTATAGAAGATCATCTTATGTTTGTTTGTGAAAAAAGAGAGCAAGCAATGAAAAAAATGAAATGCCCTGCAGATCATCTTAACAATCTGACTAAAACGTGTAAAATTCCAAATTGTGAAGTAAATCCAAAACCAAGCTGCGTAAATTGCAAGGGACACCACACTGCTACTGACTGGGGATGTCCCGAATACAAACGGCAAAAACAAATTAACGAAACCATGAGCTTCTACAACCTTTCTTTTTATGAAGCAGCTAAACTGCATCCACGGCTAATTAATGCAAACCAAGGCTTTACCCGAAAACCAGAAGATTTTCCTAGTTTAAATAAAAAAACTCAGAATAAAACTCCTCATCCAACAAGTCCTCGGGGCTGTTCCTCATATACATCAGTACTTAAAAGAAAACGGCCTGACACCCAATTTACCAAAGGGTATGATAAAGTAGCCCATGAACTAACTTTGTTAAACTCAAGTGCAAGAAGAAAAGTCTCATCTATACAAGTAGTTGAAAACTCGACATCAGAGTCGGAAATGGAAGTAACTCCTGTAGGAAATGGCTGGGAAGAAGTATGCAACAAGTTTGAAGCTTTCAAAAAAGACGTTATGTCAATAAAGGGTATGGATGAAAATTGTGTCAACAATATCAAACAATATTTTGATTCATTTGACCTACGGAGGGGGGGCGGCTGCGATGGCAGCGGTTGACCTACAGGGGTTAGAAAAAGAAAAGGTAATCTTATCACTAGTTTTAATCTAACAGTAGTTTTTACATAACAAAACTAAGTTTAAGTTTTAGTCAGAAGCGTTTTATAGTTGAGCTATAATGAATATCGTTCACTGGAACATTTGCGGGGCTGAAAAAAATAAAGATGCTATCATTAAAGTTATAAGGGATTTTAAGCTACAGATCTTATTGCTCAATGAAACCTTGCTCAAACCCAACACTAACTTTAAAATATCAGGGTTCTCTTCTGTAAGAGCAGATAAACCTAATGGTGCAGATGGTATAGCAATTTTCTTGAAAAACAAAATAAAATATAATATCATCGACTTAAGCAGAATTAATATACCAGAGAGGTGTCAGGTTATTCTTGTAGAGCTTGTCGATTTTTTTATTTGTTGTGTTTACAACCCTCCAGATATTTGTTTGGTCAGGGCAAGCCTCGATTCAATTTTCGATCTAACCCGTAATAAACCCGTCCTCGTTATGGGAGACTTTAATGCCCATAATCCAATATGGGGTTCCCAGGTCAGTTACTCACGGGGAATTAGAAGTGGGAACATTCTTTATGATTTCATTAAGGATCACGATTTGTGGGTACTAAATGATGGATCAGCTACTCGGCTCACACGCCCAGGCGTACACAGCGCTCCAGATGTAGCTTTTTGCTCCCAGAGACTGTCTGGACTTACTGACTGCAGGGTTCTCCAGGATAGAGTGAATAGCGATCATTTTCCTATTTTGTGTATCATCGGAAATAACCGTTGCAACTCAGGTTCGACAAGAAACTACACTAGCAAATATAATTTCAACAAGGCAGACTGGGAGAAATTTTCCGATTTAATCTCCACGAAATTTAGAACTTCACCTCCTATAAATTATGAGGATTTTATGAATATAATTTTCCTATCTATTGCAGAATCTGTTCCAATGCATAAACACTCATTAAACTACGGGTTACCTTGGTGGGATAATGAGTGCACCAACGCTATTAAAAGGAAAAGACAAGCATTCAGAGACTATAAAAACAACCCCTCTGAGACCAACTTCCTGGAATCATTA